TCCTGGACGTGCCCGCGATCCAATAGCCCGTTATCATTCGTTCGAACATTAACGATAATCATCGGCATGAATTTACTTGAAGATAAAGGGATCACGGGCACGTGTCGGTCAACGTGCTTCTTACTCACAGCTGATTTCTTTGTTTTTCTTTCGTTCTTTCTAACACACCTCCGACGCTCCAACCTGTCTCGCCTGTGTTATCAAACGCGTGTATGTTAAACGTTTCGTGTGCCTCGTCGCAATCTGATTTCCGTTCGCCCGCTTCCGACCTGCTGCCGCAAAATTCCATCCCCATCCTCGCCCCCTTCGAGACGACCTGCCTTGAAACACCCTAGAAAACTCGACGGAAACCCACGAAAAGTCCTACTATTACGAGATTGTCGAGAACACGAAAACCGATTATCGTCCTAGCTCTGTAAAATCGAAAAGTCTCGCCTGGCCACCCCCGAAGCCCATCGAGGATATCACTTATCCCACTGCCAGCCCCTTGTACATCGATCCCAATCCTGCCCTCGATCAAAGAAGCAGACAAGCGGTGAAAGAGAAGAGAGCCTGCATCGAGGCTTGCGAGAAGGCCCTGACGAGAGGCCAGAAGAGAGGCGAGAGCACAGATCGGGAGGTGGAGAAAGTCACCAGACAGTGTTATCGCTTTGAAGAGGACCCGATGGATCGTGTCAGTTGTCCAGGTCCGGTTTACAGAAAGGTCGAGCTGGTGGAGACCACCAGCAGACAGTCGAGAACCGAAGTGCCGTCGAGAGCCAGCTCGGCCGAAAGCGTCAGGAGATCTTTGACGCCCACGAGGATCGTTCAACCGGTACCGAAACCATGGACAGCCACTGTGACGACGGGCAGCAATCTTTACGAGCAGAGTTACGCCGGTGTCGAGCCTCCCAAAGTGTGCAAGAAATTCCATCAGAAAGAGATCTGTCAGAAGGAACGAATATGCGAGAGGAATCAGCCTTTCCACGAGGAGCATCGTACGTATCGATCGGAGTTTTGTAGACGAGAACAGACCATCAGCCAGAAGCCACCGTTGCCGACTCAACAAGTGACGAAGCAGGAAGAAACGAGAGAAGAGACCACGGAGATCGACAAGCAAGTGATAGACCTGAGACCGGCGGATGAGCTCGAGGATGAAGATGGCGATGGGATTAAAGGGGAGCACGACTTTATAACAGAGACGTCGGAAGAGGACATCGATGGAATGCACGTGAGAACGAAAATGACTCTGGAGAAAACTGTCGAGCCGTCTTTGGTACGACCTAGTACTCCCGCGGTGGAAGAATCCAAAGAGGAATCTAGGGTGGAAACGACGGCGGAGGAAACGGTAGAGGAAACAGTGGAAAAGGTAGAGGAAGTTTGCACGAGGAGAACCGCGACAAAGGTGGAAAAAGAGGGGACCGAGGAAAAGACGGTAGTCGAGTCTGCCGAAGTGGTGACCTCTGCTGTGGATGTGCAACAGCTGGTAGAAAAAGCGAAACAGGAGGAGGAGGAGAGAAAGCGAGAGGAAGAGGAGGAAGAAAAACGAAAGCAGGAAGAAGAAGAAAGAAAGAGGCGAGAACAAGAGGAACAGTGGAAAAGGCGACGCGAGGAAGAGGAGCGAAGAAGACAGGAGGAAGAGGAGCAAAGTAGACACGTAACTTTCGAGGAAGAAGAAGAGGAAGTGGAGGAAGTTCGAGAACAACCTCTGGGAAGGACGGTCGTTCGCGAGGAACGAGTGACGGAAGCTGAGAGCGACACTCCTGGACGTACGAAGCTCATCAAGGAGACTTACGAAGAGATCACGGAAGAGGTGTTGGTGCAAGAACGCGTTAAAAGGAAAGGCATCGAGAATGAACGCAAGAAGAGTTTAAGAGAACAGGTAGAGGTTCACAAGAGCTTGAGGGATCAACAGGCGCCGAAGGATCGACGCGTATGCTCCAAGTATCCTCCAGCCCAGGAGATTATGGAGAGCAATAAAAAACGTGTGCAGTTTATGAAGCAGACTGATACAGGGCCGAAACCAATACCTCATTCTGCTCTTCAGAACTCCACTCCTAAAGAGTGGAAGTCCGAAATGGTGAACGCTTTGACAACCGCGCCTGATCGACCTTACACGCCTCTCAGTACGTCTTCCAGCGTGAAGGAAGTATACACGGAGGAGACTATATACTTGGACCGTAGGCGTCGACCTAAACCACCGCCTCAAGATCTCCGACCAATTTCTCCGTTTCAGGAGGCACTCACGATCGCTCCGGAACGTCCGTACACGCCTCTCAGTCGCGAGATCGGACCCGAGGATCAGAAAATCGCGAGTCGTTCCCAGACTCCCGTGATTACAGGAGACGGAAGTGCTCACTGTCCTCCTGCTGACATTCTATTCGGCGAGGGGAGAAGCGCTCGTACTCCCCCTCCTCCTAAACCATCCACTCCTCGACCTTTGCCTACTCCACCGCCTGATTTTCGTCTGAGGGACATTTCCGTGTCCGCGCGACCTCAGACGCCGTCTAGCAAAGGCGTGACTGCTCCTCTGAAGAAACCAGATACTATTCCACTGTATCAAAGAAATCTAGTGGCTACGAGAAAGGGCGCGGTCGAAACTCACACGTACGAACCGAACAGAACTCCGACTCCAACTCCAGGAAGATCGAAATCACCGGCTTACGGGCCGCCAGAACCGCCTTCCTGTTACGTGAAGGCCCAGGCGCCGAGAATCAGAGAGGATCCTCCACCTACGAAGCGAAGTTCCATACACTTCCCTACTAAAAAGACTGTTTCCTACAAAGTGGACGAAGACACCGACGACGGGCACAGGCACGCCGAGTATGCTGCCTCGAAAACCGTAGATTTTGACGAAAAACGAACCGACGATCCGGGCAAAGAGCCCACGGACGCGGTTCACGCCGCGTACCAAGAGAAACGATGCATGACCAGCGAAGAAACGAGCGAAGAGAAGAAGTCGGTGACGAAGAGATCGCTCGAGGTTACCGAAGACTTCGAGAGGTGCGAGAAGAGAATTCCAACTCGACCTTTGCCGGAAAGAACAGAGAAACCGCGGGAGAAACCACCCAAGGGCGCGTGTGCCATTGGCAGAACGAGTCCTTCTCAACCTTCGTTGCCTTGTCCCCTGTCCTCGCAAACGGGAACGAGCTCTCCTGCTCAGCCAATTTACAGCAGCTCGACAGAAGTGCGTCACGTTAGTTACGGAACACCGCCGTCGAAACACTGTCCAGATACCGGCGTAACGGTCCTGCCGTGCAAAGCACAGTCTGATCAAGGTACCAAAGCAGGCGTGGTGGTGATACCGTGCGAAGGACCGAATATTTCTTGCCAAAAGTCAGGCATATGCGTGGTACCAACCTCCGATCGTTCCGGGGTATGCGTCTCACCTTGCTTCGGCGGAACCTGTGGCCAGCCGTCTGGCCAGTGTGGCCGAGAATCTTCCTGCGACTTCGACGTCCCGAGAAATTGTCCGGAAAGCGGAGTCTGCGTGTCGCCGTGCCCCGATGGATCCGTTTGCGTGGCACCGTGCTCCAAGCCTGGCGTGCCTCCCTCGAGGGCGAAGCTTCCCTTCCCTCAGATCCCTTTGCCAGACGAGGAGGCTCCCATACCCTGTTCCCAAAGTAAAAGCTCCTTCGAGCCTATCCACAAGCCTCGCACTAATCTGAGTGGGCAGCTCGCGCGACTGACTGCCAAAACCAGAACAAGCCAGAACGTTCCCACTGTGCAGTTGTACAAGCCCCAAGCTCAAAGCCAAGAGCAAAGCCAAAGCTGCTGCGAGACTAAGAGCTACTGCTGCAAAACCCAAAGCTACTGTCGCTCCACTGAGACCAGTCGCCAGTCTGGTGGCCAATGTTCGATTAACACCCGTTGCCAAACCGGAAATCAATGTGGAACCCAAAATTACTGTCAGGACGGTATCCATTGTGAACCCTCTAGTAATACCCAGAGTTTAGTAGACCCACCAAATTTGTCATCCCACCCGGATCTAGGTACCGGAGTCGGTGGTCTCGGTGGTGCCGGGTCGAAGAGCGGAACTTTCGCTGGCAGCAGCGCGCCAAAGCGAGGAAGGGGCATCCTAAATCAAGCAAGTGGACCGGGATCACGATTGCCCCTCTGCGCCCATTGCAACTCTTATGTCAGGTACTCCTGCCCCTTTGCTGTCAGGTGTGACGTGTTTGTCGTTGTTGTTTTTTTTTCCTTTTTTCATTGTTTGCCGCATCCCCTTTTTTTTTTTTGTATTTCCCGTTCTCCATCATCGAACGATGACGATTGAGTCGCTTTTTTTTTTTAGCTCTTCGTGTCGAGCATCGATCCATCGACATGCGCTTGGGAAAGGGCTGATTGTGTTTTTTTTTTTT